CTGGATATATAATCCCTTATTTGGATTGGACATATTTCATGTCTTTCCCTTCCTTTTAATATTGTACTGGTCTAATTGACTGTAATAAAGTTAATACAAATCTGACCAAGAAGTCAATTCCCTCGACAGGGGGTGCATTTGTGGGGGGTGCATTTGTGGGGCACCTAAAGAAAAGTTACAACCTCAAGTTGCTGCTACAACCTGCAGCAACTGAGCAAATCCCCTTGGATTATCTTAATAAACAGGGAGGATCATTTGCATTGTTAGACCTCTGGAGAGTTAAAATCCCAGTACTTTCCAGCCAGTGTGCCATTTGGGCTGGTCTAGGTTTAAAGTGAATATGTTTGTAGGCACATTGTGGTTAATTAGTATTAGCTTATGACCAAGTTTTCACTGAGATACAGAAAGGTCAGCGTGTGCTGTCAGAACACCCCTTTATCACTTCTTAGGCTCCTTGTCTCCTTTTGCCACATCCTTAGATCTCAGAGACAAAGAGAAAGGGGGGGGGGGTGTCTTCCAGATATCTAGCCCACTCCATAGCCCTGTTCACCAACTCACTTCATATCTGCTCTCTCTTAGCTCAAACTTCTCCTCTGAGGATTGTGCTAACTTTCTGCTCATCACACAGTTCAAGGAATATATCAGTTTAAAATAACAATCTTGTCCAGAAAAACAAAAAGTCTTGTTGCACTTTAAGAGCCATTATATTGTGTGGTTTCATGGGCCCAAATTCACTTCAACAAATGCATGAAGCACTGTCCCAAGCTGAGGAGAAGGGAGAAAGAAATTCTCCTTTGGGAGGATAAAAGAATGTTGGATGGTAAACATGAACATGGACAGATTTAAGCAGGCCCTTTTTCTGTGCGCAAACTGCCTTTCACTGGAAGTAACAGAAAACAACAACAACAAAATAACAAAACAACACTGTCATTCAACCAACAAACCCTGGGGATGGCTGGCACCTTGAAGATGCTCCCATAACCTTTATTTACCAGCAGTATCTTGGAAGACATTTATATATGAACATGGTTTTTTTATTGTATTTTAATTAATATTTATTCTTCTTTTACTGTAAACCACCCAGAATTGCTCTTGAGTGAGATTTGCGGTGACTAAATTTGAAATGTAAATAAATAAAAAATTCTCAGACAGTTCATGCATTCCCTGATTATTGTCTAGTTTGGCTCTAGTTTGCCTTTAGAGGTGAAATTCAGCAGCATATTGATAGCAGTTATTATCTTTTCCCCCTCCTTAGGCTGCTCCAAGCAGAAATTCTCACTGGGCACTGGACGCATTAATCATAAAGCAACTTTTCCTCTATCACCTCCTCCGGTGGTGCAGAATTCTGGCGGCTTCCATTATACAGGACTGCGGTAAATGCTTCCCTCATTTGGGGTTCTTCAGTTGTGTCAGAGTCTTGATTGTCTACATTTGCAAGTTCAACCTTCTTATTAGTTGGCTACAATGGGGCTTATAGCTCGGAACTGAAGGGCAAAGCATGAGGTCCCTCAGGGATGGCATGCTGTCAGTGTAACAGTAAGAAGCTAAGATGCAAATGGTGCAGATTACACACTTACTAGGACCAAGCTCTATTGAATTCAGTGAGCTTCTGGCATTCCCAATCAACAGCGATTATGTGGCTCTTTGGTCTTTTCCTCCTTAGTGGAGTTTCTCCATGAAGTGAAGAGAAAAGATGGAAGAATCCATCAGAAAATATGGTGGAGGGGGAGGCTACAGAGAGAAAAGCCTCTTACGAAAATCATGAATGAGGTAACCCAATTGTGCAACAATAAGAAAAAGAGTTTGGAAATAGTTTACTGGATTTTTAATTAAGCATTTAATGTTAATGACATATGTTTAAACAGTAAGTATCTGTCCCATTTGCATGGAGAGATAAGAACAGCAGATGTCCTTATTTAGCAGCTGCATAGAATAGTGCCTCAGTGTTTTTTTCTTGATCAGCAATGGGAAAATCTCAGCTTCTATTATACTGATATATATTATAAGTAAAGTTTAAAAGCTAAGCAAGAAGCCTGGAATGGCCAAAGCAGACCACATAGATGTATGTTTGTATTTCTGCCCCCACTTGGTTATAGTTCTGGATATCAACCACAGATAACCATAGTAGGTATGAGATTTATGGATTAGGAAGAAGGAAGATGGAGGTAAGAACTAGTGGACCACATTAATTCAGTCTCCAATTATATTAGCAGGAACTATTTTAAAGACTTGCAGATGAGAAAAGCATTTGATTCCTATGAATTTTCTTCTTTTCTCTCCTGAAGAGAGATACTACCAGGCAAGATAATGATCCTCAGTAGGATGGATTAGAGATATAGATTCTCCTTGCCTCCATTAGAGGCTACAAGCCAGTCAGCAGCAGTTTCTGATTACTTGTGGAAAGAATTCTAATGAAAGAAGAGTTGTATTCCTCTCTTTCTTTTCTAGATCCCAAAGGAAAACGTTGCCTAAGACTGGAGAGCTTTCATGGACAAAGCAGCCTTCCTTCCATCCATGGAGACTCAGCGGAGATGTCTCCAGTTATGAAGGAAAGAGAAAAGGGCACTTGCCACCCTTGGAGGCCAAAGACCCAAATGTTGTTGATGACCGGGACATGACCAGCCTTAAAGACTCCATGGCTAAGCAGCTAAATCTTTCAGCAAAGTCTGTGGACAGGGAGGACACTGATATCATGGAAGAGCAAGGAAAAGACTCAGTGAAGGAAGAGCCAAGGGATTCTCAAGCCAAAGATACTGCTACCACCACCAAGCACATGAATCTCCCTGGGAAGCGAAGACCTTCTCTTGATCGTGAGAAGCTGATCATGGATCCTGAGGCCTATGCTGCAGATGGACATCTCAGGACTATGTATAGCAGGCCTGATTTCCTCAAGTCTTACAATGAAGTTAGGAAAGCCCGCTATATCCGGCACAAGAGTCTTCCAGCCTGGGAAAAGGAACTCAGCCTTCAAGATATATTTGGGCACAAAAAAGCAGCCATGGAGCATTCCTCCCAGGAAAAGGTTGCTGCCGAAGCAAAGCCCTAAGCAGGCAGAATGGCCAGATCTAGCAGTGCAAAGCACCAAGAGGCCTCTACAGAAAAGGCTGCAGAGACAGGATCGTTTAGTTACTTGCAACAGGCAAGCTAAATGCAGCCTGGGCTGTGGCTTGGTTTCAAGCAGGCAGTAAAACAGGTCTTTTATCAAGCCTCTGGTGGACTGCTATGCACAAGAACAGTAAGAAGGGAAGGGGGCGAAGATGAAGGGGAGATGAAGGCTCAAGGGCATATAAAGATCTGCTTCTTTGGGAATATATAAATTAAGGTCAATGAATATGTACATAAAAAATTCTACCTAACGACTTTTGTCAGGAGTAGCAATCAAATCACTCTCATTCTAAACCATGTTGATGACATGAAGGAAGTTTGGGGAAGGGATATGAACGAGGAATGGGCTTTAGTTCTGGTATTCAAATTCTTGAGCTCAGAAGAAACTGGTAATTCTAAGCACATTTTGTATATTAGGTTCCAGTTGGTGGATGTTGGAGCTCCACTAAAAATTCAAAGTAAATCGAAACAGCAATATGTTTTTTAAAACCAGATCTTTCAGCATATTGCCTTTGGTTAACATCTTTTGACATCCGCTTCCGTATTTTATCTTTCTGTATGCCAAACCCGTCCCCAAGTTTGCCTTTTAGTTTTTTATGGGGGAAAAAGAGAATAGCTATTGTGTGCGTGTGTGCTGAGTGTGTCTTCAAGTCGGTTTTGACTCCTGGTGACTGCCGGGATGAGTCCCTGCAATTATCTTGGCAAGTTTTCAGAAGTGGTTTGGCATTGCCTACTTCCAGCTACAGTTATGCAATACCTTTATTAGGTCCAACCAAATTGCCAGAAAAACATGTGCCAGCTTCATCCAGAGCAATTTATCAGACTAAAATCCAGCTTCTAGGAAGTGAAGGGGGAAAAAAAGTAGGGAAGTCCACAGACCTTACTAGCTTCCTACATGTCTGAAATAGCAGGAGTGACATGGCAGGACCATCCAGGAGGGTAGATAGCAGCAGCAGGGGAAGGTCCTTAGCTCTGCTTACAATCTGACTGGAAACACAGGGTCCTGTGGATGCTGGATATAACAATTTGGTATCAGTACCATGACATTAATCAATCCACACCTTCTCCAACCTGAGTTAGCATTTTTGTTACAGTTTCTAAATTTTTTTTCAGGCTGTGAAGTCTAGCTACATATGTGTATTTGGATTCACATACAGCCTTTAAGAAGAAAAAACTTACAGCCTCCCCCCCCAAGCTGATACTGTGATTTTGATAACCCCAGCCAGCATGACCTTATCTCCAAGACAATAAGACTTCCATTCCCCTTCATTAGCAATGTTTGGTTAGGAGAATCAGTTCATTCAGTGCAAATTCACACTGGGAATGATAAAATGGTAGATAAACAAACTAGGATACAACACTTCAGTTAAATTCTGTTACAAATTGTCACTTCAATTTCATGTAACACAACTATTATCTTTTTTCATCAGCATTTGGAAACTCTTGTTAATATGTGTGGGCTTTCAAATGTTAATGGTCTAGGAAATATATTTAGCATTTATTATTAAAGAATGCTCTGAGAAATGGATGGTTCTAATTAAGTGATTCATTCAGTATGCTATACTTTCTTTAGTGAACATACCTACATGATTGGTTTGAGTACATGTGATACATTCTCCTTTCTGAAGCTAAGAAAGCCTGGACCTGGTCAAAGATTGGGTAGGGGACCCACTTGGGGATACTCCCAATGCCACATTTGATTTGCAAACTCTATACACACAACAGACCCTTCAGGCTCCCAGGATCTTTTTGTGCTTCCATATTTCAGTAATCTAAACAACAAGAGATCTTTTTTTCAATAACACTTGGCCTTTGCAAACCCTTGCAAGATTATTCTTCTCCATGGAAGGTAGGGTTTCTTTTGGAGGGGGGGGGGTCCTTAAAGCAGGGTTTGATAATCCGATACTCGTACAGTGTATTGACTTAATTCTCTTGCTACTGGCTTTCTTGATTGGGATTGATGAGTACTGGTGTCCAAGATCCCTGGAAAGTACCAGGTTGCCTACATCTTCCTTAAAAGCTGCAATCCTCAATATTTATCAGAGACTCTCATTAAACTCAGTGGTTTCTTTATACACAAAAATAAGATTGTATTGTAACCCACCTCCAATCATTAGAGGAAGAATATATTTCAAATAAAAAACAGATGGAAAAAATTAGGATGTAATACCTTAAGAAGACCATCTTGTTATTGAGATACAACTTAGTCCAAAAGTTTATTTGCAATGTTAACCACAGGCACAGTTATTGAGAGGTAAGGTCCATTTGTAATCAGTGGGGCATACTGAGAGGTTGAAAGAGGTTTGCCAACAAAAAGACAAAGAGGCTCATTGCAGTAACAGTCTCAGTAAATATTCTTAGCTTTTTTCATGATAGAAATAAATAATAATAATTAAAAAAAAACTAAAGTTGGTGCTCCCTCTGGATCTTGAGGTCTGTGGTGAGAGACCTGGCTCTGCCATTGCAGGGCAGACAGAATGACTTATTGCCTTTGCTGGAGGACCGGCAGGTCCAGTACTGTGTTCTGGTCAGATGCTGGTGCAGCTAAACCACTGAAAACTCTGGCTGGTTGGCCTGATGGTCACTCCATTCAGATGGCCAAAGTGCATTACTTTGAAAGAAACACTATCTTGTTAGAGAAAATAACAATGTTAAGGAAAAAATAATAACATGAACATCTAGAGCTACAGAAATGCTCAACACTATTACCTTGACTATACAGTCTTTTGAAAAAAGAAAAGAAAAGATGCCATGGTGTGGCGGTATTCAAGGAGGGAGGGGGGAGTTAATAAAAAGTCAAGTTGGCAAGTTCAACTATGGGATCAAAACCCTGCACTGTTTTTTACATGTGCCCAAAAAAGGGGCAAGGCTTTAAAAAGCTCCAGACAGGCCAGTCCTTCTACCATTCCCCCCCGCCCCCAGTTTTGGGTCCCCAGGCAGGGGTGTCTGGACTTCTTTCATACAATCAAATTCCAGGACTGTGTTTGGGGCCCCAGGTAGGGGTGTCATACACTGAATTAAAAAACAACACCATTAGGGTGTTGGAAAAAAAAAAGACATTATAAAAATATCTTGGGGAGAAGATAATAAGGTGACTTTGATTTCTTTCATGCTCTAGCCCCACAATCACCCAAAAGCAGCCCACTAGAGAAATCTGGTTTGCAAAGGCAAACAAGAATAACAAACAGCATTCCAGGTAGACGAAACGTTTTCCTGCCACCAACAGTCTTGCTATTTTTTATGTGAGCAACTGCTGCTCACTAAAACTTGCTTTTCTAATTCCAACAGCTTCTTGTAGAATTTCTCTGCCATGTCTTCACTAAGATCCATCTGAAAGACAAAAGAACAGGCAGTAATTAGGAGGGAAAAGATTTAAAGGGCTAGCTCAGGTTCTGTCTCTTATTTGAGATCTTTCACTCCCAAGAGGCACCCAACTGAAAGCTCCTAAAGCTGAAAGTATGCGCAATCAAAATCCAATGTCAGAAAAGCTGAATGGCAAGAAGATTAAATGAGATCCCTGGATGCTGCAACAGCTGAATCTCTGCCTAGAGCTATACTGTATGTAGAGAGACTCAGAAACTAGACTGGAGTGAGGAGAGACAAACTCAAAATGCGAGGTTTGTATATTTGTCAAGATCCAGTTTGGGATATGCCTAAAAAACCCTGTTTCCACATGTGTCTGCCACATCGGGACAGAGTGGCTATTTGTAAAATCAGCTCATACCATAGTACTTAGCATAACAAAAATGTGCTGGTGCCTAGGTTCTAACACAAGAAAATAAGGGGGATAAAAAATGAAGAAAGATGGGGATGCTTGCAGTAAGTAAGATTTGCAGAGAAATAGCCCTCCAATTTCTAAAACTCCAGACACATTAACATTTGCCGGTGTGATGTTTATAAGATGTGTGAGGAAAGGACTTTCTGGTAATCCTCAGTGGGGGCTCTAATTTACATTGCCTGGGTATAGAACAGTCCAGAACTATATGGCCCAGCACACTATAACATTGGAAAAGAAAGAGTGCTTACCATATCACTCCCTCAAAAGAACTGATTTACCTTACGGGTCTCAGTGTAATTCTTCCCAAAGAAGGTGGTACAGCTGTGGTATTTCACCAGGGGATCCAGCAACTCTGGCTTCTGCTTGAACAACCAAATCTAGAAGGGAACACAAGCATTTCTTATCCCATGGGCTCTCCATTCAAGACACACCGTGACAGCACAGGGAGCCTCCTCACAGAAACTGAGGAACAGGGTGATCTATCTAAGGAGTGGTAAGAGGAGAGAAAGAGAAGCACCTAAAGAAGATCATAAGCAGGTCAACAGAGTCTAGAGCATGGGCAAAACACCAATATGTTAAAAGAGATGGAAGCACTGCTCAGGTTTTAAGGTCACTTTGCTGGATTTCAGAGTGCATGGAAGCTGTCCTGAGCCATGATTCAGAGTCTGACTCTGACTCGTGGCTCATGACAGAAGCCAAGCCATCTATCCTGGTCATTGCTGAGCATTGCTCCTGAATTCTAACTCTACAAGATCAATCTGCAGTCATTCAGCAGTGAGGGAAAGAAATATTTTATGCATGTCATACTGTATGCTGTTTTTATAGATTACTTGCCTATTTCTTTTTCATTAAAAGAAATATGCTAAGCAAGCATGGATAGAAGACCAAACCAACAATATCTGCAAAAGTTTTGCCTTATACCACAAGAAAACTGCTATCAGCTTTGAGGCATGGGACCTACACAGAACAGGACAGAACCAAATGGATTGTGAAGATATCTGAGCCATGGACATAGACTTGGACTTTACCTGTGCTTCTGCTCCATTGTATGGTGTCAGAGTATATGTGGAGGTGAACAGGCGTAACTGGTACAGGAACAAAAGCAAGAAGTTAGCTTTCTCTTCCCCCCGAGGAAACACACTGCAACTAAAGAATCAGTTTTAAAAGAATCAGTTTTACCAATTCACTGAATATTAACAGTGGTAATATTCCAGTCAGAAAATTCTCAGATAGGACTTACACTATGGTACTATTGTATATGATGCATAGGCAACCTTTCTGAGCTAAGAACGTAGTTGGAATTTTAACAGCATATGGTGGATGTATTCACAATATGGCCCCCATGGGAGCCTTGTCACAGTGGACACGGCCACCAACAAAGTACCCATTTACCAGAAGGTAAACCAGATCTATCCTCTCAATCAAATCTTGTGGATACCAAAGGTAGACCTCTAAGTAAATATGATACTAAACACAAGTGCTTCCCTTGGCAATATGCCAGCTTTTATTTATTTCTTTGCAAAGAATCCCTTTAGAAAATCAAAAGGACAGAGAACCTGTTGGGCACCAATGAAGGTGTCTAGGGGCATACTGGTGTGAGACTAGGCTGAAGCTGCCATAACCTAAAGATGAAGCAGGCACGGAAGCAGAGAGGACAAAAGCCAGGAATCTTGTCTGTGAGATCCCTTCGGGAAGGTAGATAAGAAGGAGGCAAGTTGTTAAGGAAACAAAGGACCTGAACCAAACAAAAGAAGTTGGGCCTGAGCACATGGAAACCCTCACCCCAATCTCATCCACTTGTAAATCAACCAAGCAAGGACTTTTGGGGATAAAAGGGCTCCCAAAGCCTGCCCATTCTGAGTCGTCTGAGCTGAGTCATCTGAGTCATCTTTGGATCCAGACTTGGCGGCTTCCGTCCCTCTAGCTAGTGCCTGGCAGCCTAGTTGGGAAGGATGTCGGTAAGTGTGGATGAGCATGTATGTGTGTGTGGGAGAGAGAGAGAGAAAGAGCAAATGTACTTTGCAACCAGTAAAGTTTTGCAGTTACTTTAAATTCACTGGGTCTCCGTGTATAACAAAGAACCTCTTGTGCCTCAGTGTTTGGTTGGAAGTGATTTGTGTGTGTCCCTAACTATCTCCCGGCTGTTGACCAAGGCTGTGTGTTTTATCTGCTCCAGCCGCGCCTATCTGGAAAACCCAGGTAGAAAGCAAGGGGGGCTGACAAGATCC